CCCCCCCCCCCCCCCGTGATCACTGTAATCCAAGGGTAACTGAGACCTGCTTTGTTTTCTATTAAGTAGTTCCTACGACTGAATAGGTGAGCGTCAGCATCCTTCAGGGAAATGAAAGTTTTGCGTCTCCTCTGTCTCGTTCTCCCTGCATTTCTGCTGCGTTTGCAACCCACCGCCAGCCTCCGAAGGCTCCGCTTGGCGCAGTGTGAGATCGCTGTGAATTTCCATGAACTGAGACACAACTTTGCAGCTGTCAGGGAGATGCTTGTGAGTACGGCGCGGGTGGAAATACGTCTGTAGCTCAGAGTCCTGCTGAACCGATCAAAAGGCCAGCTTCCTAAGTCGGCACGTGCATCTGACCCTTGCTCTCTCTTCCTCCCTTTCAGCAATCTCGAGACAAGCGCACTGACATCAGATTCTTATCCCAATCATATTCTTTGCAAGACATTGAGGTACGTACGGGATCCGCGTGCCTTGAAATATTCAAGGGATGCGTGGGCACAGGGAACGGGTGATTTTTGCTGCGAGAGTTGGCAGCCATGTGGATAGATGGCAGAACAAATAACACAGGAACAAGATTAATTTGTTTTAACAATGACTCTTACTGCACCTAACAGAGCCGTTTTTTCTTTCTTCTTGTAGTCTGTGGACAGGTGTTGTTTCCTACGTCATTTGATGCGGTTTTACCTGGCAAATGTTTTCAAACACTGTGAGGAAGCCAGTGCCCTGGTCAGGAGGAAAGTCAGCAGCATAGCCAACAGCTTTCTCCATATCAAGAAGGACTTGAGGCTCTGTGTAAGTCTGAGGCAACAGGCCACCCCCTGCTCGCTGCCATGCTGGTGTGAACTGGAGTGCAGCCAGCCACGTCCACAGAGCACGCACGTCTAGAATACCCTAGACATACACCCGTACACCAGAGAGCGGGGACGGCCCAGGAATACCTCAAATGTTCTCATTACGGGCCAGATTTCATTCCCTTTATTATTCATTTCCCAGTGATCATTTCCTGGAAAGTTAGGGTGGGAAGGGACCTCAGGAGGTCACATCTAGTCCACCCCCCTGCTCAGAGTAGGACCAGCTCCAGCTAGATCATTGCAGCCAAGGCTTTGTCTAGCTGGGTTTTGAAAACCCCCAAGGATGGAGCTTCCACCACCTCGCTGGGTAACCTCCTCCTCCTTGTGTGAGTTTTCCCTAATATCCAACCTAAACTTCCCTTGCTGCAACTTGAGCCCACTGCTCCTTGTCCTGTCGTGTGTCACCCCTGAGAATAGCCTACCTCCATCCTCTTTTGAACCCCCTTTCAGGCAGCTGAAGACTGCTATTAAGTCTCCCCTCAGTCTCCTCCCCTCCAGACTAAATAAGCCCAGTTCCCTCAGTCTTTCCTAACAAGTCCTGTCCCCCAGCCCCATCACCATTTTTGTCACCCCTGCCGGACTCTCTCCAATTTGTTCACATTCTTGTTGTAGTGGGGGGCCCAAAACTGGACACAAGACTCCCAAAACATAGCAGTCCCTAGGGATTACTTGAGAGGAGCGACTGCGAGGTATCCACACGGGGAAGCTAGTGGCAGTAAATTGGGAATGACCGTACGCAGCTCTAGGTCCTCGCTGTGAATTCTTTGTTTGGATGCGGGAACTCTAGGACATGCGTAGGCGGAGTTGGTATGAAGTGACACCTTTGCTCAGTGGGTGCTCACTTCGGTACGTGCAGTCCTTGAGAGTAGCCATATTGGGCCCCGTGTGTACAATCCTGTATCCTCCTTTCCTGCGTGCCCACCATTAACTCCGTTACCGTTATCCTTCCCCAGCATGACGCTGGCGTGTGTCACTGCACCGAGGACGCGAAGCAGAAATACATGCAGATCCTGGGCCGGTTTGAAGAGGTACATCCATGTTTGCCTTCTGCTAATGAAGTGCAGAGGGATTTCTGGCGGCAGGAGTCTCTTATATGGGGGCTGCCTCAAAGCTACGTTGGGACGTAGCCCTTCCTCTCCCGGCCAACAGTGGCAGGACACAACTGTTCTCCGGGGTTCACGGTGTAACTATTCAGCAAAAGCTGTCAAGTTTCAGGGCTTTCATGGGGGCAAATGGGAGTTCCCTGCTAAGGGCCATCTTCTTTGGATCCCCTGATGTGCACACCTAGCCCTTTGTCCATTTTTCTTCTGCCCCCCCTTGTGTGGTTGACTTTGGGGGCTCCCCTGTCACCTGAAGGAACAGGCCTTTGCTGCTTTGAGCTCTGCCCACCAGTCTTGGGTATCGAATAAGCTGTCACCAGCACTATCATTGTTTAAAAACTTTATAACAGAAAAACAACTGGAGCCAGCAGATGTGGTCAGCCTGAGGGTGGGGAGGGATGTGCCCGTGTGAGCAGAGCACCATTTTAGATGCATCACAGAGCTGCTCTTTCTCAGCTGCAGGCCCGTAGTCGGGTCTTGCTGGGAAACCAGGAGATCGCTTGGGAATGTGCCTCGGTTGTCGTGGCTGAAGTAGCTGCTTAGGGGGATAATCCTGTCTGTTCCCTTCCAGATGGACGCTCAGTCTGCAGCCATCAAAGCTCTTGGGGAGCTGGATATTCTGTTGGACTGGATGGGCAGGACTGATTAGGTGAAGATCTGCGTCCCTCGTCTGGTGGCCTAATCCTGCAAGCAACAGTCAGTCAAAACTCCTGATATTGAGCAAACCAAGTGGACAGGATGAGACCCTACAGCATTTAATGTTTCTTGGAGGCCTGAATCACAGCTTCCACTGTTGTCAGCGGGAACGTTGATTCGTGGGAACAGGATTCGGTCTTTCGTCTTCTGAACTGAGACTGCCCTGCACCGCATTAGACCCCTGTGGGGTCGGCCCATATAGTCTATAGGCCTAGTCTAGCAAAGCGCTTAAACAAATGTATAATTTGAAGCGGATGAATAGTCCCAGGGGAGTCATCTGTGCCCTAATTAAGCATTTGGCTGGATTGGGGCTTCTGTAATAAGCTCTCCAGTGCAATTAAGCTGCACTACCTGGCCACTGTTTTACTGATGGCTGACATATCTTATTACAGAGAACTATTGTCTTCAGTGAAGAACTTTCCAGAGATTTCTTATTATTTATAACTTGCTATTTTTTATTCATTATTTCCATTATTATCTGTAGCTGGTGTTTATTTATTTACTTATCTATTTATGTATGTACTTATTTTATTTATTTATTCATTTATTTATTATAATTATTTCCTATTTTATAATGTTTAGTGTAATGTATAATGATACCTGTTGTAATTTTATATTTTAATACTTAATTTATTATTATTATTATTATTATTCCTACTACTACTGTGACTGATTGTATTGCTCTGGGAACACTTTTTGCATGCAATGGATGTTTCATTTGTTAAGCTCAGAAAGTGCTGTTCTCTCCAGAAGGACTGGATGAGAACATGGTGTGCAACTCACACTTTTCTTAAATAAAAGCACTGCAGTGAAGCTGTTGGACCTAGCCTGAGTGTGGAAATATCCCTAAGTGACATCTCAAAGAGTAATATAGCTGAGTACCATTGTTCTACAAAATGTAGAGCCTTCCTTGCAAAGATCTCAGGCCCTTACAAGCATAAATGAATTCTACATCCTTAGACCCCTGGTTGGGTGAGAGAAGAAAACCCCATTTTTACAGATGAGGAAATCAAGGCAGAAGAGTGAAGGGGTCATCTAAAGTCAAATGAGATGGTGTCCTGCCTTCCAGTCATAAAATGATGGAAGGGACCTCAAGGGTCCTGTAATCCCATCCCCTGCCCAGCTGCTAGAAGTATTATTCTTCAAGCATCCCCGACAGGTGCCCATCCAGCCTCTTCTTGAAAACCTGTGACCACGGAGACCAGCTTCTGGAGGCAGCTTGTCCCATGGCCCTTATTGCTCAGAAGCCTCTTTTTTCCCCCTCGGAGGCATAATCTAAGCCTGCTGTGCCGCACGTGTTTCACACAAGAGCTGATTCTTGTCCTCGTATTCACGGTGCCCCAAATGTCTGTACTAGTCTACTGAACTGATTCTTCTCAGACCATTTAGAAAGTAGCTGTTGTGGCTTGCAGCCTAAAGAACTGGCTCTGACATCGCATCTCACCTGTCCAGGCAGTGATGCCACGACTGTTTCTGTGACATCGGCGCGCCTTCCGTACTCGGCAGCGAGTGCTGACTAACACATTAATAACTGAGCAAGGTTCACCCGATCCCGGGTTGACATGACAACCTGTTTTCTGGGCAGCCCGTAGAGAAGCTGCAATGATGTCAGGCCCCAGATGTGTGTTGCATATTAGCTTGGGTATTTTGCCAAAGCACTCATGTGTTTTGTGTTCCTGGTATCGCTCCAACCTGAAGATTTCCGATGTTGAGGCAGCCCTGGCTGCACCTCTTTGAAGCTGGAGTGGGAGTTGGCTCTGAAGGTTTGAGTTGGTTCCTTTGGCCCTACAGGAGAAGAGCTCCGCTGCCAAAGAACAAGGTGTACCCCCTGCACCAAAGAGCTGCTTCTCACAGCACCAAACTGCTTCTCTCCAGACAGGAAGGGAAGGATCTCCCTTTGCCACCGGCTGCCATATCCCTTTGCAGGAGGGTGACCTACCTTGGGCACTACACTTGCTGTCTTCAGATGAAGATTCACAGTTTCAAAGTGTTTCCTTCTTTCTAGCTGTTAAACCTTAGAAAGGAAAATTTGAGACCCGAATGAAATGTTCCCCCTAGTCAGCATGGCACATGTTACCAATACCGCTGAGAACATGGCCCAACTCTTCATGCTGACGCACGGAGGTTCATGTGAGCCTGGCTCCTAGCTCGTCTCCGCCTTCCCATAAAGCTTCGTTCTCCCTGGAGCGATCTGGCACCCTTCAGACGAGAGGGCAGAATGATCCTGCTCCGCCATGCCACAGTGCCGTCTCTCCACGCAAAATGATCCTACCGGTGCCATGCTGTCGGAGGTGGTTTCCAGTGATGCCGCAGAGGTGGTTTCCAAGCGCTCCTTCCTGCAGGAGCAGTGAGAGCAGCAAGAAGCCAGTCAGGGGAAAAAGGATGTTTTCCAGAGTTGTGAAAGTCTTTTTTTGATTCTGATATATGGAAATGAGCTTTTTCCAAATGGAGTTACCTAATACTTGTGATCTCATCACCATCTCAGAGAGCAGTCTCGAGAGGATCCAGCAGATGCCTCATCCCTCCCGTGTGCATCTTGCTGGTACCATCGCCGTATCAGGTCATTGCTGCAGGTGCTATTAGGGATTTTTGTTCTTGTCCCTAAACTGTCCCTGATTTCTGAGGTCATAGGTATGCGTAAGTGCCTGCCCATAGTTAATTGCAAACACGTCACCCTCTGTTTTAATGACACGGTGTGATGCTAGCCTATCATTATTTTAACATATTATATGATACATATACTTATAAGGTACCTTGTCTACCTCCCCAAATATAAGCCCTATCTAAAGTGTCCCAGTGTCTTGATTCACAAATAAAAACACTCCACGTAAGATGTTTCTAAATCATTTAAGGTAACTTGTGGTCACAATTTGCCATGAAGAGTCCTTCTCGTCTGAAATAAAGCAGTCCTATACAGCTTATGGAGAAGCGCTCATGTTTATCCTGCACATTTTCTCCCACTACTGTGGTTTGGAGACTGAAAACCTCTTTGCTGTCCCGTGATCCAATTCTGCTGTCTTTATTCATACATTTCATACATTTATTCTTCCAGTGAGTGGACGGGGCAGACAGCACAAATCA